GTAGTCTCTAGAGGCTCATGAGGGGTCTGAGCTGCTCTCTTTTGGGGAATGGAGTCCCCATTACTCTCTCTCACATCACCCTGGTCTTGGCCACAGAGAAAAACCCACAACTTAGCGCCTTGTCCTTTGAAATCTCGGATCAGCAAAAACCTCAGTCTTTGAAACCTGAGCATTCCCATTCTCTTCTCTTCATAGACAGCCTAATTTCAGGCTGGCCTTTCTCTAGGATTAATATGGTCGCCAGTTTTGAAGTTTTGAAGGTGGTGTGTGGTCCAATAAATGTATGTGTGGGTGTTGGGGATGAGGGTGGCTCTAGAGACTCTGGAAGTGCAGAGCAGGCTGCTTTGTTCTCCCCAGCACCAGGTGGCTACCTGTGCGTGTGATGAGACATTAGAAAAACCCCACCTAGGAGCTCTTCTGAGCTGGCCCCTGCTGTTAAGGTAGACGGTAAAGTAAAACCTGACATCATTTAATAAACCACTTAAAGGCCCAGGAGCTTTCCTAGTTCTCCAGAAGAGAGGTGCTCCAGTCCCTCCGCTCCAGCACCACACCCGCTCTGCAAAGCACTCTCCCCTGAAATCAACTCTATGCTGGAGTTAGGGACTGGCCAACTGGTTGGCTTTCTATTTGCAAGAATGGACTTCTCTGGAACTTATTTTTCCCTTCTCCAGAGGGCCATTAGCTCAGCTTCTTTTTCCTCTCTCAAGGAATGACATGGGAATAGAGCTATTACCGTATTTATGCTTTGAGCTTCTAGCAAGGAATAACCGTTAAAAATGATATACTGTAGGCTACGGACAGTGGCTCATGCCTGTAATCCCAGTATTTTGGGAGGTCAAGGTGGATGGATCTCTTGAGGTCGGGAGTTCAAGACCAGCCTGGCCAACATGGTGAAACCTCATGTCTACTAAAAATACAAAAATTAGCTGGGTGTGGTGGCATGTGCCTGTAGTCCCAGCTACTCAGGGGGCTGAGGAAGGATAATGACTTGAACCCGGGAAGTGGAGGTTGCAGTGAGCCAAGATCGAGCCACTGAACTCCAACCTGGTGACAGAGTGAGTGAGACTACATCTCAAAAAAAAAAAAAATTTAGCTGGATGTTGTGGCGTGTGCCTGTAATCCCAGCTACTTGAGAGGCTGAAGCAGGAGAACTGCTTGAACCAGGAGTCGGAGGTTGCAGTGAGCCAAGATCGCATCACTGCAGTCTAATCTACGTGACAGAGTGAGACCCTGTCTCAAGAAAAAGCAATATAAAAAACAAAAATAATATGCTGTTATTCTGAGAATGACATCTGAAAACTGAAGTCCTGCTTATAGGAAATGAATGGGAAAGCAACAACCTTCAAAGAAGAAGACATTTCTGGAGTTCATGGGAAGACTTGCTACATTTTCTTTTTTTTTTTTTGAGATGGAGTTTCACTGTTGTTACCCAGACTGGAGTGCAATGGCACGATCTCGGCTCACCGCAACCTCTGCCTTCTGGGTTCAAGCAATTCTCCTGCCTCAGCCTCCCGAGTAGCTGGGACTACAGGCGTGCACCATCATGCCCAGCTAATTTTTGTATTTTTAGTAGAGACAGGGTTTCACCTTGTTGACCAGGATGGTCTTGATCTCTTGACCTCGTGATCCACCCGCCTCGGCCTCCCAAAGTGCTGGGATCATAGGCATGAGCCACCGTGCCCGGCCAACTTGCTACAATTTCTACATTACACACTTGCCACATGGCTTTCTGCCTCCTCTGCTCCCAGGAAGGCAGTCTTAAATGTTTGCTATTTTGGCCACCCTACAAAAGAAGCCTTTCCATAAGCAACTTACCAAAGCTGCCAAAGTGCAGGAGCAGGTGGGCTGGGGAGCTTTAACACACCACCTCTCCAGCTTCTGGGCAAACTATAAGGTCAAACACAAGAGGTATAATAAACCTTGGTGTCTGAGGTTGTTTTTGTGGTTGCTTTCCCAGAGATGGTTTTGCTATGTTGCCCAGGCTGGCATTGAACTCCTGGGCTCACATGATCCTCTGCCTAGGCCTCCTGAGTAGCTAGGGTTACAAACCATCATGCCTGGCTTGAGGTTGGGTTTTGATGTACTAGGACACTATTTTGAGGCTACTTGGGCTAAAGCTTAACTTGACATAGATGTTCCATTTAAACAAGCAGGGAATCACTTTTTTGTGTGTGTGACAGAGTTCTGCTCTGTTACCCAGGCTGGAGTGCAGTGACACAATCTCGGCTCACTGCAACCTCCACCTCCTGGGCTCAAGTGATTCTCTTGCCTCAGCCTCCCAAATACCTGGGACTGCAGGTTTGTGTCACCACACCCGGCTAATTTTTATATTTTTAGTAGAGATGGGGTTTCACCATGTTGGCCAGGCTGGTCTTGAACTCCAGACCTCAAAGAGATCCATCTGCCTCAGCCTCCCAAAGTGCTGGGATTACAGGCATGACTGCTGCACAGGAACCACTTTCTTTATCCCCACTTACACTAAGAACAGATTGTAACAATTTGGAAATCTAGTATCTACGTATTGGGAGCAGCAAGCATGAAGGGAAAAAGCACAGCCTTTGGAGCCAGACTGCTTGGATCCAGTACTGGTTTGGCTCCTTCTTATTGGCTATGTAATCTGAGGCGAGTAATTAGCCTTGTGTGTGCCTCAGTTTTGCTATTTGGACAACAGGGTCATAGTAATACCTATCTCACAGGCCCAGTGTGAGGTTTGAAGGGATTAATATGTGTCAAGTGCACAGAAGAGCATAATAAGCTCTTTAGAGTGTTAACTATAATCGTGATCTTGACATACAGTGATGCAGAGGTACAACCGTTCAACCTGGGCTTTCCAGATAAACCCCGTACTTTAAGGGGCAATCAGATCTTATGTCTTGAGTCTGGTTTAGGAAGTATAGTCATCATTCTAGGGACATTCAAACACCATGAGAAGGTTTACTCTATACACTAAGGGCAGAGTCTCAAAGATGAGAAACCTCTTTTAAATAGACTGCAGGGGCTCAGGATTTCTCTCCCAAATGAGTAATTGTAAGCCCCTAACTAGTAATTATAAGCCCCTAATTAGTATTTGCAGCTGGAACATGGCTGCTGGTGGGTGTAACTTGCAAAGCATATTAGCGTGTCCCTGTTGGTGGTTTTGGTTCACAGAAAACTCCAGCCTTGAAGATTTCCTAGTCCTGAATTATTTAGAGAATGCTATCAACACTGCTTTGAGACTGAACTTGCATTTCATGGGTGTTAAAGCAAAGTCAGCTGAGGGTGGGGGAATGTAGATGGGTATAAACATTTTGGGGGACCTTTTGGTACTAACATTTGAAATGGTTATACTCTTTTGATCTAACACTCCAACCTCTTAAGACCTATTGCATAGAAACATTTCGGTATGCAAAGTTATATCTGGGAATCACTGAAAAACCACTGAAAATTAGAAACAAGTCAACCGAATCATCAATAAACAAATTCATAAGCTGCAGTTTACCCAAACAATGGAAGACAGGCTATCATCACAAAGGAGGAGATCTGAGTACTGATGTGAGTGTCCAAGGTACATGACTCAGAAAAAATGTGGAACACTCTTTGTGGTAATAAAATATGGTAATAAATAAAGATCTAGAGGGATTTTGCACCAGTTTGTCAGTGGCAATCTTAGGTAGGAGCTGTGGTGAGATTGTGGGAGTTTTTCTTTCTTTGGAAATACAGTATCTATTGGGTAGCAGCAAAGCACAGTGCTAAGAAGCACAGCCTCTGGAGCTAGACTACCTGGGTCCCAATACTGTTTTGGCTACTTCTTACTGGTTATGTAATCTGGGCAAGTAATTCACCTCTTGTGTGCCTCAGTTTTCCCATCCACAGACAGGGTAATAGTAAGACCTTTCTCAGAGTGTGAGAGTTAAGGGAATTAATATGTATCAAGCTGGGCACAGTGGTTCATGCCTGTAATCCCAGCACTTTGGGAGGCTGAAGCAGGTGGATCTTTTGAGTCCAGGAGTACAAGACCAGCCTGGGCAACATGGCAAAACCCTGTCTCTACTAAAAATACAAAAATTAGCTGGGCATGGTAGCACACCCCTGTAGTCTTAGCTATTAGGGAGGCCGAGGCAGGAGAATTGCTTGAACCCGGGAGGCAAAGGTTGCAGTGAACCAAGATTGAACCAGTGTACTCCAGCCTGGACAACAGAAAAGACTCTGTCTAAAAAAAAAAAAAAAAAAAAAAAAATTTAGCTGGGTGAGGTGGTGTATGCCTGTAGTTCCAGCTACTCAGAGGCTGAGGTGGGAGGATCACCTGAGCCTGGGAAGTGGAGGTTTCAGTGAGCTGTGATTGTGCCACTGCACTCCAGCCTAGGCGACAGAGACCGTTTGCAAAAAAAAAAAAAAAATACCAGGCACAGTGGCTCATGCCTATAATCCCAGCACTTTGGGAGGCCGAGGTGGGAGGATCTCATGAGGTCAGGAGATCGAGACCATCCTGGGCAACATGGGGAAACCCTGTCTCTACTGAAAAAAAAAAAAAAAAATTAGCTGGGCATGGTGGCGCGTGCTTGTAATCCCAGCTACTCGGGAGGCAGAGGCAGGAGAATCGCTGGAACCCAGGAGGTGGAGGTTGCAGTAAGCCAACATCATGCCACTACACTCCAGCCTGGTGACAGAGAGAGACTTTGTCTCAAAAAAAAAAAAAAAAAAGGGCCAAGTGCACATATTACAAACTATTACCAATTACATATACATTAAACTTGTTTGAATTCGCATCACAGATCATCTGAAATTGTACACAAATACATACAGCAGCTGGGGCACTGTACCTGCAGGCTGTATACCACTCCTTAGACTGGAGGGCAGAGGGCCAGCATGGGGAAGGCGGTAGGTAGCTCTGAGCATGTGTCAGTGGCGCTCAAATGCCTTCTTGGTGGGACCCATGTGTTGGGGTTCATGTGTATATGTGAGTACCTGAGTTTGCATCTCATACTGTACTCTGCTTGAAAGGCTTTTGCTTCTATACTCACTTTGGGGGCAAGAAGCTTCATTGTATTCAACAGATGTTCAAAACATTTCATGAAGGGTCTTCCGATGTAGTAAACAGGCTCCTGGCTGCGACCCAGCAGACTTGGAGCCAAATCCCACCAAGGGAGGATGCCAAGACCTGGCTCCCTGTTCTTCAAGGTTGTTGTAAGAATCAGACAAGCTTCTGGATGGAAAATGACTTTCCAAACTAAAGGAAACACAAACACTGATCTTGCAACTCTGTGTTCCAAAGAACTGCAGAGGGCACTCTGGGGGAGGGGCACAAAAACGGAGGCCTGGTAGTGTGGGGCTGCTGACTCCCTAGAAGAACTGGGGAGGGACAACAGAGGATGATGCCTACAATGATGAAGTTTCAGCCTTCCAGGGCCGATGGTGGGGTCTGCATTCCCTCCTCACCTTCCCAGCCTGTGCAGAGGGTGCTGAGCCCAGCCTGAGCTCTGCCTGCAGGGAAGAGGCAGCACCGGGTACTGTAAGAAGCAACACAGGTTCCCAACCCCCAAGCGGTGATTCAGTTCCAACAGAGTGGAGCGTGGCAGGCAGAGGTGCCGCGCACTGCAGTGTAGCTGCAGAGCTTGCTGAGGACACAGCCAGGCCCTCTGAGGTAAAGGATGCCGCTGGGGGGAAGGGGGGTATTGGGGAAGAAGACCTCATGGTCAGGGAAATGTGGCACCTCTCACAGCTCCCGTTTCTGATTCTCTCCCTTTGCCAATCCAGCTGAGATTTTAGATTTCTGTGCAAAGACTGCAGAAGCTTATCTGGTTTTGTACAGGTCAGATGACCCATCTCTCGACTTATTGTTACCAATTGATCCACTTTCACACATTGTAGCCAGCCCTCCAATGCAGCAAACAGCCGGCGAGAGGCACAGAAAGGCAGGTGGCAGGCAGCACTTCATTCAGTCACCCTCACAGACAAAGAGACAGAGCAGGTGGATGGACCCAGGGCAGATCAACACACTTACTCTCCTCTTTTTGGGCCAATGAGGAGAAACGGCTGCTACCAGAGAAGAGGGGCTGAAACAATAGTCACCGAGGCCAAGTTGGGGGGTGGCATGAAAAGGGCTGGGCATCACTGCTTCCTTTTTTATAGAGGCAAAAAAACTGGCTGGGTTATGGTTATATGTATTTCTTTTATTTTTCCATTATGGGGACAGGGTCTCAACTCTATCGCCAAGGCTGGAGTGCAGTACTCCTGGACTCAAGCAATCCTCCTACCTCAGCACCCCAAGTAGTTAGGACTACAGGCATGCCACCAACACGCTTAGCTAATTTTTGTATTTTTTGTAGAGATGAAGTTTCAACATGTCGCCCAAGCTGGTCTTAAACTCCTAGGCTCAAGCGATCCACCCGCCTCTGCCTTCAAAGTGTTGGGATTATAGGCACATGCCACCGAACCTGGCTTATATTTCTTATTTTACAACATTTTATCATCTTGGCCTCAAAGCACTCTCCGTAAACAAGCTGAACAGGCTGCATGGCTGGGCACGGTGGCTCACGCCTGTAATCCCAGCACTTTGGCAGGCCAAGGTGGGCAGATCACTTGAAGTCAGGAGTTTGAGACCAGCTTGGGCAACATGGCAAAACGCTGTTTCTACTAAAAATACAAAAATTAGCCAGGTGTGTTGGCACACTCCTGTAATCCCAGCTATTCAGGAGGCTGAGGCAGGAGAATTGTTTGAACCTGGGAGGTGAAAGTGGCAGTGAGCTGAGACTGCACCACTACATTCTAGCCTGGGTGACAGAGTAAGACTCCATCTCAAAAAAAAAAGGAAGCTGCAGGTGATAAAAGGTCTGTGGGTGCCCTCCTCGTTCAAAGTGGCCCCTAAGTCTCAATGAGATCACCCACCTCACTGCCCCTCCACCTTCCTGTCATTCACTCTACTTGGACCACACTGCCTGCCGCCCTCTCTCCTGAGACCTGCTGTCACCTCTGGGCCTTGGCACTTGCTGTTCCCATTACCTGGAAAGCTCTTCCCCCATTATTTTAGTACTCACTAATTTACCTCCTGATCCTTACTCAAATACTGACTTCTGGGCAAGGCTACCTTTGGACAACAAATCTCAACTTACTGTTCCCACTCTCCTCCTTCCTGACTTTATTTTCTCCATCTTTTACCACTTGAAATTTTTTTTCCAAAAGCTGGAGTGCAGTGGCACTATCTCAGCTCATTGCAACCGCTGGGTTCAAGTGATTCTCCTGCCTCAGCCTCCCGAGTAGCTGTGATTACAGGCACATGCCACCACACCTGGCTAATTTTTGTATTTTTAGTAGAGATTGGGTTTTTGCCATGTTGGCCAGGCTTGTCTCGAACTCCTGACCTCAAGTGATCCACCTGCCTCAGCATCCCAAAGTGTTGGGATTATAGGGGTGAGCCATGGTGCCTGCCTCCACTTGACATTGTTTATCTTACTTGTTATCTGCCTCCCTCTATTGCCTCATAAGCTTATAGGTGCTAATAGGTGCTCGATACCTAATAGGCGCTCAATAAATTGTTGTCATTGCCTGTGGTTTGCTTTCCTACACCCTAGTCCCTGTGACACTGGCTCTTACATGGGGATGGGTGGGCAGAGCCATGGGAAAGCAAAGAAGTGGAGCGGGGGTGAACAAATGAAGCAAGGGTGGGTTACGGTGGCTCACACCTGTAATCCCAGCACTTTGGGAGGCTGAGACAGGTAGATGACCTGAGGTCAGAAGTTCAGGATCAGCCTGGCCAACATGGCAAAACCCTGTCTCTACTAAAAATAACAACAACAACAACAAAAATAGCCGGGTGTGCTGGCAGGCACCTGTAATCCCAGCTACTCGGGAGGCTGAGGCAGGAGAATTGCTTGAACCCAAGAGGAGGAGGTTGCAGTGAGCCAAGATCATGTCATTGCACCCCAGCTGGGGCGACAGAGCAAAACTCTGTCTTAAAAAAAAAAAAAAAAAGAAATTGAAGCAAGGGATGTGGAGGAGATTGGGAAATTATGAGTGTGGAGAGATGATAAGGAGCAAAGCAAAAGTTAAGAGATTTCTGATGAAATAACAGAGAACTTAGAGAAGGGCAAGTTTGTGCCAAGGAGGAAGAAAACAAAGCAGAAAGGGGAAACTCTCCAGAATGTTCCGGAAGTCTAACCTGAAAAAGCAGTCCAAGCTTGGGCAGAAGCCTGGGGTCTGGCTGTAGCCACGAGTGGGGCCTCTGCGGTCTCTTGTGGCTGAGCCATCCCCTGTAATGCAAGGGGGTGGAGGATGGTGGGCCTGGGAAGAGGAGGAAGAACCTAGGAGAGGAAAAAGGAGAGGAGGAGGCACAGGGCCAAGCAGAAGGGTGAGTGAGTACCACAGAGGAGTCTAGGAGAGAGGCTGCTGGGCTGCAGAGGGTGCTGAAGGTGAGGGGCCAGAGGAGAGCCTCAGCAGGCCACGTGGAGGCAGCCCCAAAAGGGGTGGTGGGAGGCAGGAAGGTGATCTCTGAGGGAGAAGAGGAGGGTGGGGGTGGGAGGCAAGACACACCTCACAGGCTCCATGCAGGGAAGTGTTACTTTGTTTCCATGTATTTTGCTTTTGAGATTTTATTATTCTAAAGTTTTCACATTATTTTCCAAGGACTTGATATTCATACATACACACACACACACACACACACACACACACCCCTATATAATATAGAAAATCAGGAAAAATTTAATAATTTGGTCATGTTTAAGAGAATTATATTAGGGCCCAGTGTGGTGGCTCACAGCTATAAGCCCAGTGCTTTGGAAGGCTAATGAGGGAGGATTGCTTGAGGTCAGCAGTTCAAGACCAGCCTGGGTAACATAGCAATACCGCATCTCTACAAAAAGAATTAGCCAGGTGCAGTGGTGTACACCTGTGGTCCCAGCTACTTGGGATGCTTAGATGGGCAGATTGCTTGAGCCTAGGAGGTCAAGGCTGCAGTGAGCTATGATCATGCCATTTCACTCCAGCCTGGGTGACAAAGTGCAACCCTGTCTCTTTAAAAATGTAGGCCAGGCATGGTAGCTCATGCCTGTAATTCCAACACTTTAGGAAACTGAGGCAGGAAGACTGCTTGAGCCTAGGAGTTTGAGACAAGCCTGGGTAACATAGCGAGACATCATCTCCAATAAAATTTTTAAAATTAGCCAGGCATGGTGGCACACACCTGCAGTCCCAGCTACTCAGGAGGCTGAGGTGGGAGGATTGCTTGACCCCAGGAGGTCAAGGCTGCAGTGAGCCATGACTGCACTACTGCATGCCAGCTTGGGCAACAGATTGAAACTCTGTCTTAAAGGCCAAGCATGGTGGCTCACGCCTGTAATCCCAGCACTTTGGGAAGCCAAAGTTGGCAGATCAGCTGAGACCAGGAGTTTGAGATCAGCCTGGCTAACATGGGGAAACCCTGTCTCTACTAAAAATACAAAAATTAGCTGGGCATGGCAGTGTGCACCTGTGGTCCCACCCAGCTACTTGGGAGGCTGATGCTTGAACCAGGGAGATGAAGGTTGTAGTGAGCCAAGATCGTGCCATTGTACTCCAGCCTGGGTGCCCTGTCTCAAAAAAAAAAAATCAATAAAGAGTTAGGCATAATGGCACATACCTATAATCCCAGGTACTCAGGAGGCTGAGCAGAGAGGATTGCTTGAGTCCAGAAGTTGGGAATAGCCTTGGCAATGTAGTAAGATCCCATCTCAAAAAACATAAATAAAAAAGATGTTTTTAGCCACTTGCCAAATAGTTCAAATTAAGAGGTGATCTATAAACAGAGAGAAAGGCACTCGAGGGTTTTGCACTAGAGAGTGTCTTAAACTAATCAAGGTGGTCAAATAGGATCTGTCCTCAGAACTGGAATGCAGTTAATGCAAATGAAGTTGTAAGTGAAATGGATTGTGTAATACATTCGATCTGCTAATCTGAAGTGGGTTGTATGGAGTATAGTTAAAGGAAGGCCAAGAAACAACCATTTTTATTGTATATTCAGCTGGCCCAAAGGAGATTCTCCTTAGATTTAAAGGCCACAATGGCAGTTTTCTAGACATCCTTGATTCAGAGAATAGGAATTAATCCGGCTGTACTAGCTGAATGGAAATATTCCTTAAACACATCTAACTGGGTTTGTTCCCATTCTTTGCTCGCTAAGCTACTTGTGATCCTGTTCATAAGGTGGCCTCTTTAAAGGGTTGTCACCAAGGAGCTTCTGAACTCAGAACCATGTCTCTGATCTGGCCTGAGAGAAATATCCTGTTTTTAACTGGCACATGACTATGTTTGTATATAGATCCTTCAGTCACTTGAGCTTTTGCAAACTGCATTTTGGTTCCCATGGGTCTGGGTCACCCCAGAGAGTGGGACAAAATCCTGTGATAAAATTCTGTACCTAGCCCCACAAAGCGGAGGACTGATCAAGCAGCTCTGGGTTAGCCTCATCAAGGTGTTGACAACATGGAGGGCTGATCTGAAGCAGCCAGCCAGTATCTCCTTTCTGTTATCTCTTTTAGCTGCAATAAAAATGCAGCGGCCAAAATACATCAAGAAATAAAGTGGAGACCACAGTGCTATAACTGAAATTGTTTCAACAGCGCTGGCATCAGGCCACCAGCATGCAACACACTTTCCAGCCCGAATTCAGTGTGAGCCCATTGTCTTGGCATTCATTTTTCTGAAGGAGCAGAGCACAGAAGGCAGGATGTAAACTCTCTGGATGCTTGTGGTTCTTTTCTCCTGATAATCAGGGCAACTCTCTGCAAACAGCAGCAGAGGGAATGAAGAAAAATGGCCTGGGAGGATAAATACAGGGTTTACCCTTCTTCTCTGGCAAATGGCCAGAGAAGGGCCAGAAAGCAGCTTGAGCCTGGGAGGCGGAGGGTGCAGTGAGATGAAATCATGCTACTGCACTCCAGCATGGGTGACACAGCAAGACCCTGTCTCCAAAAAAAAAAAAGAAAAGGCCGGGTGTGGTGGCTCACGCCTGTAATCCCAGCATTTTGGGAGGCTGAGGCGGACAGATCACTTGAGGTCAGGAGTTGCAGACCAGCCTGGCCAACATGGTGAAACCCCATCTCTACTAAAAATACAAAAAATTAGCCAAGTGTGGTAGCACATGCCTGTAATCCCAGCTACTGGGGAAGCTGAGGTGGGAGAATTGCTTGAACCTGGGAGGTGGAGGTTGCAGTGAGCCGAGATCATGCCACTGCACTCTAGCCTGGGTGACAGAGCAAGACTCCATCTCAAAAAAAAAAAAAAAAATCAATAAAGAAGTTGAGAATAGCTTGGGCAATATAGTGAGACCCCATCTCAAAAAAAAAAAAAAATCAATAAAGAACAGATGTTTTTAGCCACCTGCTAAATAGTTCAAATTAAGAGGTGATCTATAAATAGATGTAAAGGTACTAGGATGTTTCATGAGGCACTTGAGGGTTTTGGACACCCACAAACTTCCTGAAAAAGATAATGTGGCTGGGAGTGGCTCATGCCTGTAATCCACACACTGAGAGTCAACCTGCTTGATTCTCCTTTCTGGGAATCAGAGTCTCTTCAACTCCACAGTGTTCCATCTCGACACCAGAGGACCAGATTTAGCCCTGTTCTTTCCATCCAAAATAATTTTACTCCATGCTGCATTATGTAAAAACGATTTCCTTCCCCTCCCCACCTCCAACTGCATCTCCTACTCTGAAATGCCTCTTGAGCAGCCAAGGGTAACCAGCTCTGCTTCTCATTTTCCTGAGGAAGAAGAATCTCAGCCTGAAAGAATACAGAGCTAGGTGATACATGGATGGCCAACCTCTTCTCCCCACGTTGCAAGAGTGGGCAATTAGCCAAATTCCATCAGTCATGTTAAAATATACTTCCACCAAGTAGACATCCTTCTCTCAGTGCTACAGGACAGTGAAAAATGTGCAGAGTAATGAGATTTGTCATTTTTTTCTCTTAACTACACACCCTTCAGGCTGAATACAGGAGGGCTAAACAGAAGCCTTAGGAAGGGACCCTGAAGAAGTGACCAGCACCATAAAGCCACTCCTAGGGTCAGCCATGCTGCCAGCACTCAAGAGGCAGCAGGGCCACCTGCTGGAAGGCCTGGCCCTCTGGCTGCCTGGCCCTGCCTGCCTCCTCCATGTCCTTTGAGCCAGGTCTACGGCAGGACCACGATCTTCTTCTCCAGCTTCTGTGGAGGAAACAGGAAGTTTTTCATGATGTCATCCAGCTCTTCTAGGGCCAACTGGGCATGGAGCTTGGCCACGTCATCGGGCTCCAGACACACCACGTGCTTCAGCAGGTGGTAGAGGTCCTTGAGGACATCGCTCAGCACCTACATGAGAGAGACAGCCATGATCACCTGTCTACTATGCCGGCATTTATCCGTATGACTGAACTGCCCTCTCCTCCTGCCTGAGGAGATCTGTGAGGACACCCACAGACTTCCTGAAGAAGATAACGTGGCTGGGTGCAGTGGCTCATCCTATAATCCGCACTGTGGGAGGCTGAGGCAGAGGCAGGCAGATCACTTGAGTCCAAGAGTTTGAGACCAGCCTAGGCAACGTGGCAAAACCTCGTTTCTACAAAATATTTAAAAATTAGCCAGGTGTGGTGGCACATGCCTATAGTCCCAGATACTCAGGAGGCTGAGGTTGGGAGGATCATTTGAGTCTGGGAGGTCAAGGCTATAATGAGCCATGATTGTGCCACTACACTCCAGCGTAGGCGGAAAAAAAGAAGATAATGCATGGCCATCTCGGGTTGGAGGAGGAGGCAGTGGTGGCACTAGCCTTTGTACTAAGATAAGCTTCCCATTGTGTTTCTCACTCACCCTATGCCTAGCTACATGGCCTTGGGGCTTCTGCTCCCGACTCCCAGGCCCAATCAGAGATCCCAGACCCCGTCATTCAGTCCCAAAGCATGGCAGAGACCTTAGGACCACAGACATCATCATTCAGTCCCAAAGCATGGCAGAGACCTTAGGACCACAGACCACAGGCAAGACTGCCCAGATACGGTTACTCTCAGAGCAGCTGATGACCGGCATTCGCCTCCCCAGTGCCCCATAAAGCCCTCTGCCACTTTATGAACAGGCACCTATTTCATGAAACCCAAGAGGCTATTTATTGAGCAATCATGCCTTTCCTTTCCCCTACTATAAAAATCTGTCACCAGGCTGGGTGCGATGGCTCACCCCTGTAATCCCAACACTTTGGGAGGCCAAGGCAGGTTGATCAAAGCTGAGATCACATCACTGCACTCCAGCCTGGGCAACAGAGAGACTCTACCTCAAAAAAAAGAAAAAAAAGAAAAGCCAGGCGCTGGCTACACCTGTAATCCCAGCATTATGGGAGGCCGAGGCTGGTGGATCACTTGAGGTCAGGAGTTCAAGACCAGCCTGGCCAACATAGTGAAACCCTTTCTCTACCAAAATACAAAAATTTGCCAGGCATGGTGGCCCATGCCTATAATCCCAGCTACTCAGAGGCTGGGATAGGAGAATCACTTGAACCCCAGGAGGCAGAGGTTACAGTGAGCTAAGATTGAACCACTGCACTCCACCCTGGGCAGAATGAGTGAGGTTCTGTCTCCAAAAAAAAAAAAAAAGTATGCCACTACCGTTTCCATTTTTCATGACCAATGCTCCAATTTTATGGTCTGATATGGAATTGGGAGGGTGTCAAAAGTACCCACTCACAGAAGCTCCTATTTCTCCACAAAATCCTCCTGGCTTGGGAGCTAGAACTTCTAGCAAGAGACAGGTTTCAAAGGAGCAGGGAAACAAAAGTAAGGAGACTGAGGCCGGGAATGGTGATTGATGCCTGTAATCCCAGCGCTTGGGAGGCCGAGGCAGGTGGGTCATTTGAGGTTAGGAGTTTAAGACCAGCCCAGCCAATATGGTAAAACCCTGTCTCTACTAAAAATTAAAAAAAATTAGCTGGGGGTGGCGTCTCGCACCTATAATCCCAGCTATTGGGGAGGCTGAGGTTGCAGTAAACTGAGATCACATCACTGCACTCCAGCCTGGGCAACAGAGAGACTCTACCTCAAAAAAAAGATAAGCCAGGTGCTGGCTACACCTGTAATCCCAGCATCATGGGAGGCCGAGGCTGGTGGATCACTTGAGGTCAGGAGTTTGAGACCAGCCTGGCCAACACAGTGAAACCCCATCTCTACCAAAAATGCAAAAGTTAGCCGGGTGTGGTGGCGGGTACCTATAATCCCAGCTCAGAAAGCTTAGGCAGGGGAATCACTTGAACCCAGGAGGCAGAGGTTGCAGTGAGCTGAGATTGTGCCATTGCGCTCCAGCCTAGGGGACAAGAGCAAGACTTCATCTCAAACAAACAAAAAAAGTAAGGAGACTTAGGAAACATCTGGTCCAACTAGGGACAGGGGGCAACTGGGCCACAGGGGGTCATGTGACTTGTCTGCAGCTACTTGTAAAGTTACTTCTGATTCAGGGCTTATTGCCTCAAATACTACTTTTTGGGTCATGTACTATTTTAGGTCCTTTCTATGTATGATCTAATTTTTCTGCCAGTCATATAGAAGAAGTTTATTAGCCCCATCTTATAGTTGAGGACACTGAGGGTTAGAGGGTTAAGGTTACTCAGCTAAAAAAATGATAGAGCGAGGCTTCCAACATCTAGAGCCTGTGCCTGTATTTTTTATTTTATTTTTTTGAGACAAAGTTTTGCTCTTGTTATCTATGCTGGAGTACATTGTCAAGATCTTGGCTCACTGCAACCTCTGCCTCCCGCATTCAAGCAATTCTCCTGCCTCAGCCTCCTGAGTAGCTGGGATTACAGGCATGTGCCACCACACCCAGCTAATTTTGTATTTTTAGTAGAGATGGGGTTTCGCCATGTTGGTCAGGCTGGTCTCGAACTCCTGACCTCAGGTGATCCACCTGCCTCGGCCTCCCAAAGTGTTGGGATTACACGTGTGAACCACCCCGCCAGCCTATTTTTTGTTTTTATTGAAATGATAATACAGTGCAAAAGAGCATATATTAAAAAGGAAGGCTCTCTTCTACTCCAGACTCCTAGCTGTTTCCCTTCTCAGAGGACATCATTCATATGATGACATATTCTCAGAGTTTACAAGCACACATGTGTGTATACTTATATTTCTTGTCCCCTCCCCACCAGCTTTTTGAGACAGGGTCTTGCTTTGGTGTCCAGGCCAAAGTACAGTAGTACAATCATAGCTCATTGCAGCCTCAAACTTCTGGGCTCCAGGAATCCTTTGCCTCAGCTTCCCAAGTAGCTGGGACTACAGGCATATGCCACCATGCTTGGGCTTTTTTTTTTTGGTAGAGATGGAGTCTTGTTATGTTGCCCAGGCTGGTCTTGAAATCCTGGGCTTAAGCAATCTTCCCACCTCAGAGGTTGGGATTATAGGCATGAGCCACCAAGCCCAGCTTCTTTTACCTTTTTAAAACACAAAATTGGCTGGGCGTGGCGGCTCACGCCTAAAATCCCAGCACTTTGGGAGGCTGAGGTGGGTGGATCACTAGGTCAGGAGTTCAAGACCAGCCTGGCCAACCTGGTGAAACCCCATCTCTACTGGAAACACAAAAATTAGCTGAGCATGGTGGCACGTGCCTGAAATCCCAGCTACTTGGGAGTTGGAAGCAGGAGAATTGCTTGAACCGAGATCCAGGAGGCTGAGGTTGCAGTGAGCTGAGATTGCATCACTACACTCCAGCCTGGACTACAGAGTAAGACTCCAACTCAAGAAAAAAAAATAAATAAATAAAGCACAAAACTATATTCAACACTCTGTTGTGTACGATGATTTTCCCCCACCTAACATATTTCGTAGATTTTTTTCTATATTTGGCATATATGGAAATAACTTATTTTTTATGGCTGTAGAGGATGAATGTAACACAATTTATTTACCCATCTTTCCAGTGAAAATCATTTAAATTCTTTTTTATCTTTTGCTATTGCAAATGTTGCTGCAATAAACATTTTTTTGAAGACGGAGTCCTGTTATATTGCCTAGGCTGGTCTTGAACTCCTGGCCTCAAGTGATTCTCCCATCTTAGCCTCCTGCATAGTCAAGATTAGAGACATACGCTACTGTGCCCAGTGCAATAAGCATTCTGATACTTAAGTTATTACAGACATGTACAAGTATGTCTGTAGGAAAAATATCTAGAAATGGAATTTCTGGCTCAAAGGGTAATGCACATTATAATTTTGATAGATATGGCCAGAGAGGTTCCAATAATTTATATTTTCCTCGAACACTATGAAAATTCCTATTTCCCAATATTCTTATCAGTGCCACATATTGTAAACTCTTTATTTTTGCTAATCCAGTAAAAAAATAGCATTTTGCTGTTATGAATTTGCATACTTCTAACAAATACATAAATATAAATTTCTATTTTTTTCTGGTATGTGTAATTCAGCTTCTCTTTAATGATTTGTAAGAGCTCCTTTTTTTAAAAGTCTATTATCTGTCATATGAGATGCAAATACTTTTTTCCCAGTTGGCATTTTTTCTTTGTGAGATTTTTTTTCCTAGTGAAGAAATTTCCATTTTTGATGTAGTTAAATTTATCAAATGTTTTCCTTTGTGGTTTCTGGATTTTGTATTTGGTTAAAAGAAATAGAGCCTACAATCTTAGCCATTATACTACACAATGTTCTTTATTTTATTATTTTATTTTTATTTATTCATTTATTTTTAAGACAGAGTTTCATTCTTGTTGCCCAGGCTGGAGTGCAATGTGTGATCTTGGC